GGTAGGAAATTTCCCAACTCAGTGATACATAAATTTACAAATTCAAAAAGCTCAGTAAGCTTCAAACAGGACAACTTTGAAGGGAACCTTGACTATACACACCATAGTCAAACTGCTGGAAACCAAAGAGAGAAAATCATGAAAGCAGTCAGGAAAAACAACATACATACAGGGAAATGACTTGAACTATCACAGAGTTCTCAATGAAAACCATGAATGACAATGGAATAACATCTTCAGGTAATGAAAAGAAAAAAAAAAAGCTGTCAACCCACAATTTTATATCCAACAAAAATATCCAAGAATGGCGATGAAATAAGAACATTTTCAGATAAAGGAAAATTAAGGTAATTTATTACCACCAGACTTGCACTAGAAGAAATGTTAAGGGAAGTTCTTCAGGGAAATGATACCAGAGGAAAGGATAAAGTTCCCAGAGAGGGGGGTGGATCATGAGTTCAGTTTTGGATGTGTTGAATTTGAGGTGCTTACAGAGAGCTTAAGGCTAGAAATATAGATCTGGGTCAATGCAAGTAAGGTGAAAAACAAAACAAAACAAAACTGGTATGGATGAAACTGTTCAAGAAGGTATTGAGTATAGACTGAAAGAAAAAAAAGGGCACACACCAAATCCTGGGCCTTGCCAACATTTCAAGCTAGGTAAAGAAGTGTGATACACAAAAGCAACTATGAAGGAATAAACAGAAAGACAGAAGGAGAACCAGAAGGGAGTGGTATCATAAATTCAAAGGAAGAAAAAAATTTGTGTGAAATTTTATAAATGGCCAGAAGTATCAAATATTATACAAGCAGAAGAAAAGGCCTGAAGTTTCATGGTTTTTGACAATTAGATAATTAACAACCTTAGCAAGGGTGATTTCAGGAAGAGCTAGATGTGGAAAACAGATTGAATCAAGTTGAGATGATGAAATTTAGCCAGCTTTTGATTACTCTTAAGAAACTTAGAGGAGATAGAAAATAAGAAAGGATAACCGCTAAAAAGAGAACACAGGGTTAAAATGTTTGGGGGGACAGGCCACAGACACTCTTGAGTCTTTCCTAAGGAGAAATAGCCAATAGAGAGGGAGAGCTTGAAGAAACAGAAACTGTGTGGATACAAGAATGGCATAAAGTCTTAGGCGAAGATCAAGAATGTTTCTCAACCTTAGCTGCACGTTGGAATCCCTTGAAGAACTTTAAAAAAAAAAAATAGTTACTTGGCTCACCTCCCAGAGATTCTTATTTAGTTGATATTTGAAAAACCTCTGCAGGTGACTAATGTACAGTCAGGGCTGAGAACCAGTGACCTAGGAGGAAGGGGTGGCCTTAAACTGAAGAATGAATAATGAGAAAGAAGGTGCAAATATAGGTAAGTTTGTGGCAGAGGAAATAGAAATAAATTTATGATCAATTTTAATTATCTGCTAGAAGTTCTTAAGAATATTTGTGTCCTGCCCAAGTAGGGCTGAAAGAACTGGACCAATGATCTTTTCAACCATGCTACCTACAGAAAAACCCACAAAACACTAAGCATTTATATGGTCCTCAGTTTTTTTAATGCATTCATCTCTCACCTCACTTTTGTGTTTATAACATTTTTGTGAGCTAAACAGAATAGATATTAATCTCATTAGATTAAGAAATGAAGGCCCAGGGAGGTAAAAATGACTTTGCCTAAGAGTCCAGAATAAAACACGGGGCTTTTATGTATGGTTGTAAAAGTGTGCCCAACAAGAGGGCATGTGGCTCGAGGGAGTGAGTGGGGCTAAAATCTAGTCTGTTTCACCAACCAAACCATGGGGCCTTGGGGGCAGTATCCAACCAGACTAATTCACACTAGGGCACCTATGGACTACTGAAAGCCATGACAAAAGCCACTTGCCCCAATTTCTAACTCAGTGCTTCTTCTACTACACCACATTGACATAGATTGATTTATATGCACAGAGGTTTAAAAATTAAATGAAGGGACCAACAGATATGGTGTTTTCCTTTTCTATTATCCTCTAAATTTTCATAATCTTAAATTACTTTTATAAACTCAGAGTCAACACTGACACAAAAGTATAGAAAACTAGAACACAAGCATACCTAACTTTATAATTAGAAGGGTTATGCAGAGATCAAAAATCACACCACATATTTCTTTCCTCTTCAAGGTTCCTCTTCAAGGTCTCAACAGCAACCACAGTAGATTAAAACTGACTTTTTTAAAAGTCCAAACCACCTCAACAACTCAGTTTAATATTCCTGAGTGCTCAGGTAAGTAAATGAAAATATTCCTTTTTAAAATATGATATTTTTTAATGATAAAGGAGATTATAATATTTGTTCATATTACTTTGAGATTAAAGTCAGATTAATTCAAAGACTTTACTGAGCTAAGTGTTTATTGGTCTATTTTTAAAAGTTTATTTAGTGAGAAACAAATGGAGGAAAGAGAAGAAGAAGACAAAAAACCAGAAATGAAGAGCTCATTCAGACACCCCTGCTAAGTTTTTCCCTAGCTGCTATAGTAATGTTCTGAGTTAAAACACTCTTTAAATTTTCCCTTTCCACTGTAATGGTAAAATAAATACAGGAAAATCAATTGTGAGCGAATAATGGTTAAAAACATAGTAGGAAATTGGGTCACTTAAACTAATTATGTACATTTTTAGGTAGAGAATCATGTTCAGTTTTTCAGGTTTTTTACCAGCCTCACGCCCACTTAGATTTTACAATTAAAGTAACTCTATCTTACAAACAGTTAACAAGTGCCCAGCACAAGGTTTTAACTTCAGTTAACAATCAAAGTTGAATAGAGGTATTGTGGCTGTTTAAATTTTTACTTTATCTGCAAGGTTATAAAAAAAACTTCCCTGAACACTCGACTTTCAGGGACAAGCTGGAGATAATGTCTGTAAGAATGGGCCCAGAGCCAACTTAATTTCATTAAGCTTTTCAGTCATATTAGAATCTCAATCATCTATATAGGTAAAGCAGCAACTTTAACAGGGGAAAGGGTAGAAACAATTACAGCTTCTTATTACTCTACCATAAAGAAGGTTAAGAAGAAGAAGAAAGAGGATAACTACCGACCAACCTTTCTCAAACTTAGAAAAGGCAACCGACTTGAGGCTGCACTGATGACCTTTGCATGTTCCCATCAGCTCACCAGCTTTTACGTCCCAAAATTTGGCTGTTTGATCACCTGCTGCTGTAACCTTTCAAAAATAAGGTAGCACAGTTTAATAAAGCAACCCCTTTCCAGTTATTTACCAAGATCCCAATGAAATAAAAGTCACTTACAAGTTTAAATTCACCAGGGACCCAGGCCAGGTCAAAGACAGCATTACAGTGAGCCATCCATTCTAAACAAAGAAAATGGTAAATGAAATGTCTAGATTGTGTTCTCTAGTAGCCATAACAGCAGCTTGAATGCTTTGAAAGCTGTAAAGATCAGTGGTCCATGGGCCGAGAATTTGTAGACTCACAGACATTACACATTCCCTTCATTACCACATTTGAGAACAATCATCTGATGTCAAATTCCTTTCCATGAGTTGACTAGTAACATATTCTCTAAAACGAAATCTTGCTGAAACATTTTCCAGCTGAAAAATCTTTATGATGTTTTCTAGAGTCTAAAATACTTTAGTTGGACATTCAAGGTCCTGCATGCTTTGCTCTTTATCTCTGTTGCAAGGCTCATCTCTCACTGTATCTTATTCCAACCAAACTGGATCGCTCCCTATTTTCTTATTATATCCTA